GGATTTCGGCAGCGAAAGGTTTATGCATGGACGTAAACCTTGTCCTTGATGAACCTCCAAATGATTGCACGTCAGGAACACCTACGATGAGTCTTAAGAAGGTCGACTCCTTGGAGGAGCTTGATGCACAGGCTATCAGAACTCTGATTGCAAAGCATCCGTATACTGATGTCCAAGAGAGGGTGTGAATCTGGTCCAAATTGCTGGAGCCGATATGACGGGTAAATTTCCTGTTATGTTGAAAGTTCTACGCCGACATCAAAGGAGTGGCTCATGGCATCCAGGAATACAGCCCTCAAAGGGAGGGGGCGGAGGGAAACAAGGCGTGGCAACAACCCTTATTTTATTAAATTACTTTCAACCTCATGGAAATCACTATTGTCTCGGGGTTTGCCCAGAATTGTTAATTTCTCTCCCCTTCTTTCAGATTCCTGAGAAATATTGAGACTTACTAATATGCAGTGCCTGTAATATTACTCCAAGCATGAGAAATCCTTGCAAGTGTGAATTCAGAAATGTAATTACGTATAAAAAATTATCAATAAATTAAAGAATCAGTTCCACTTATCAATATTTGGTGCTTCGTGAACTGTATCATGCCATGATTGTGACGCTTGTACTTACCCATATTTCGAAATATTTTGCACTGTTTTCTTCTCCCCTTAGAGGCCACAACTATTATGGCATTCTTCTAAAAGTTCCCTTTCCATCAACGATGACTCTTCTTTTCACAGCCTTCTCTCCCAAGTAGTGCCACCTACGCCATGAAATGTAGTAGTCAATTTACTAGTTCAATCATAACGAGTTCTCACTGTATATACGTTAACTCGAACTTTTAGGGACCGATCAAATTGTCGAGTGGAAGGCCTTAAAAGTGGACAATTAACGTTTAACTTTGGACCAAAATCAAGGGAAAATGAATAATTTAGGACGAGTGGTTAGGCTAAGGATCCGGCCTCACTCCACTGACAGGACAAGCCGCCTCAGGGGAGAACTAATGACAAAAGTAAATAACGGTGTTCAAACGGGAAACTACAATTATTTGCTTTAAGTTAAAAAATGAAACTGTATCTCAGATGAGTGATGACAGAAGGCTGATTTTTTCCTTAAAAAAAAGGAGCTAATGAAGGGTTGAACCCTCTCCCTGGCGGTGGGTTTCCGCCAGGGATTCCCAGTGGAACCCTCCAGCGTGAGGGCTGGCATAGTGCAAGACCCTCACGAAGCCAGTGTTAGTCAGTGGGAAGGCGTCTCGTTCCGGTCGAAGACCGAGGTTTCTCCATAATGTGTTACATGCTAACTTGTTACTTGAAGAGGCGAAGGAAGAGGGGAATTTTGGAGGAAGGATATTAGGTTGGGGCAGTTGAGACCCATGGTTATGTGATATTAGGCCCTGTCGATTAATTGAAAAAAAAAATTATTTAGGTACTTATGAGGTACCTATGAATTATCTGATTCGGATTTGCAGGTACCATCTGTTCAAAGAAAACTATGATATTAGGCTCCCTGCTTGTTCTGTATGGCATGCAGATTGAATAAGTCAGAGGAAGAAGTGCTTTATACAGGCAGGGCCGTCCAACAGAGGAGGGGCTATGAATATTGATATTAATATCATGCCATCTGGAGATGCAGGTGGTAGAGATAACGTTTGCAGCAAAGATTACAGAAAGGTTGGATGGTACCTAGGATGGCAGAGCCTAACAGCTAGAAGAGGCGCGAAGGTTGAGTTAATTGCAGATTACTGGCAAGGGCTGAGAAACCCGACTCCTAAGTCCCAAGGGTAAGGTTGACCGCTGATGTTACAGAGAGGGGGAAGGCAGGTGCCCTGAGAACTGACGAAGACCGTTGCATGGAGAGCTTGTTGCACGAAACACCAGGTTAAATGGCCGAGTGTATACAAAGAATGCTACGGGAGGCTGCTGAGAGAAGCAGCGTGGTAGGAGAATAGAAGAAGCGAAAGAGATGAGAAGGGTTATGGAATAGTTCTTAATAGGCACCCTGATACTTATTCTCCAGGCGGCGAGGCGACAGTGTATGCTGAATACGGGATACCCAGCTCGGAAATTTCGTTTCGGTCTCCGGTACTTTTATCAAAAGTCTGACATCCTCAGGGCAGTTTTCCTTGCTATAATAGGAGAACGCTTGTTCTGAGGCATGGATCGAGAGAGGTGTGGAGCCACCAGTACATTAATTGTAATCAGTGGGGAAGTATCTTGGTATGCAATATGCGAACTTGATACTTGGGCGCATAGAACGCACCGCTACGTCGAAGACTGTCTAGGAACTTGCAGGTGGGAGGGAGAGGAGGGGACGTTCTTCATTTATCCACGGTCTCAATCGCATGCACTCGTGGGCGATCTTCTAGGTACGTGTATTTAGGGGGCTTTATGGAGATCCTCCAATCCTTGCGGTGAGACGAGAGGATATCCAGGACTAATTGTGCGTCCTCTTCCAGTCTTACCTCGCGCTATCGTGTGATCCAGATTGCTGTCTCGTCTCCATACTGGCTAACATACACGTATGCAGGCACGGCTTAATGGCAGGAGTGTACAGGTTGGTAGGACGCACCTCACTGACGGAAGACCTAATACATACGGTGTGTTGCGAGAATAGACAGAAGAAACGGCTGCGAGACCGGAAGACGGAAAAACACCCCCCCCCCCCACAATAGGGGATTCCTCGGGCACCTTCTCGTGAACACAAGTGAGCTGCAGACTCTAGCAAAGGACTTGCTTGTGTCCCTGAAAAGTAATATTTTCTGGTAACTTCCTTGTGGACCCTCATGCAAAGTGTTCACGCAACCAAGGTGTTCAGGAATGGCTTACATTCCAATGAGAACTTGACAGCCTAGCGACGGATTGATCTCTTCACAGATTCAGTGGCATTCTGGGTATAGGAACCGCTCACCACCAAAAAGAGGAATTTCAATGAACGATAAGAGAGGGCTCGTTTCATGAACAAAACGATTCCAGGGTTTCTTTGAAATAGAAGGAAATTTTCGGCTACGGCGTCGCACTGTTTATGCTGCATAAACAGCGCGAGCAACCGTAAGGGCTCTTCCCAATATGTGATAGTCATGAAAAAGGACTGCTTCGTTCTTAAGTTCAATTTCTGAATGTTAGCACCATATCCCGTAAGAAGGCCTCGAATGTCTTTCCCGGATTCGATCCGCTCCTTCATATCCTGCGGCGTGCCACGAACTTCTTTGAGTACCTCCAACTTCAAAATGGTCCACAAAAACTCGATCAGCTGGATGAGGGCACAGCTCTCCGAATGTTTCGCGGTTTCTATAATGTACCCCAGCGGTTCGATCCTCTTGTATGCAGGCCATCCATCTAAATGGAGCGATGTACCCAGTTCTACTTCTGCCTGTATATTGTTCTGCAGTGTTCTGCGGTCCCGCCGATTCACAAAGAAGAATCGAAGACCCACGACGCTGCTATACCGGCTTCGTGGGAAGTCCAAGGTCCTGCAATACGCCGTCCGTAATTTCTTCTTCCCTCAGGAACGTCTGCAGCCCGATCTACATCCTCGGAGCTCACGTCGCCTGCCTCTGGCTCTCGATCTGCAAGTAGCAGACGCCTTTTGCTTTCCGTATCTCTCGAATAGTCTCATCCATGTAAACTATTCTTCCGGGTCCACCCATTTTTCTCACGTCTGGTTTAACCTATGCCGCGATGTCCCTGCCCGTATGTGGACCAATCAACCACAGCCTGAGGGTACAGTCCCATGGTGCACTTAACATTTGGTAACGCAATCTGTCCCAAATTCAGGTAAATAATCTCCAATATCCTACGTATGGAAAGATTGCTGTAGGAACGACCCGTTATGTCCCTGTTAGTGCAATCCGTACGGCGCAGCAATGACTTCACCTTTTGGAAGCCCTCCTCCACGCAACGAAAGCAAACGTATGAAGCCTCGCTGCCATCCACCTTCCTCATCTTTCGCGTGTGGAACCTGGTCTCTCCTCCACAGCCTTCTCGAATGCAAGCGGCTGGTGTAGCTTCGTCGCCAACAAGTCTGTACTCCCTCTAAAATGCGACGGCACTCTTGTCGCGCCGGGTAACGGAATAAAACTTCGAGAAACGCGTCCTGTACAACAGATTGTTTTCGAGAATTTAATGGATTTATAAACTAAATTTTCAGATAAGAGTGAAGAGTATTATGACTTCGAGTAATCCGCAAGAAAGAACAACTGCTTTAGTCATAATCTGCAAGCAAGGATTATGCCAGATTAGGCATCACGGCGCCTGTTAGGCAACGAACCACTGGTAACTCATACCTCATCCTTGTGCCCTTATGTGTTTGCCAGGTCTGCACCGTGTCCCTTCGGGGATTCCTCACGCCTTGTTCGTCGAAACTTTGGGAGTAGTTTTCCTCACTCTGGGCTTTTCTTGGGCATCCCAGGATTTGTTTAGGAAGCGCGCCATTTAAAAGTCAATGTCATCATGGGGTATTATAAGTTATGCGCATCACGTGCACACATGTCGCTACGCTGCTTGACATACTAGGCCCGCATCTGGTGTGCCTGTATCAGTCCGCAAACCCGTACGCGGTGATGGCAGCGCTATCTAACCGAAGCCGAAAGGACTACAATTCCACATTACTTCCTGTAAAGTCGGTGTCCTTGGAGAGGTCATGTTCTTAGCGGTAAGAGCCAAATGTAGGTTATAAGTAATTTATTTTTCGAAAAATGACTCACCCACGTTGCCATTTCAGCAGGAAACGGGTATTCAGTGAAATGTTCATGAGCAAGAGTAATGCAAGAATTATCGATTTTCGAGCCAAGAGAAAAGCATCCGGGTTAAAAGGAACTGAAAACAAATTTAATGAACAAAGAATGTCACGAAAAAATGGGAGTTTTGCTTCCGCGTAACTTCTAAAACGTCGAGGAATGGTGCGTTTTTGTGTATAGTCCGTCACCAACCTTCCGCCAGGTGGTTTTGTAGAAGCGCTATTCGTGTCCCCCTCCCTCTCTTCACTATCCCTGTCATCAAGACCACTCAGGAGCCTCCCATTCTTTGTGTGTTAGGGTAAGTTCCAGAAGGAGTTCCAGCACTCTTCGAAGGTCTTCCAAGTACACCCCCCACTCGACCGATCGGATCATGTGACCTGGCAGAATATGCTTCAGGATGATGGGAAGCAAGGTTCTCCGATCTTGTCTTTCCACAAAGAAAAGACAAAGATTCCACCATGAACCTCCCCTTGTTGTTCTTGCGTCGACCCCTGTCAAACAGAATTGACAGTATATTAGTGACTTGGCTTGGTGGCTTGGTAAACACGAACCGGAAATAGCTCTCATCAATTTGCACGACCTGCTCAGGGCCGCCTATCGGAGGTAGGTTTTCCAGTTGGCGGTACAGGAGCTCCCGAATGAAATCCCGCCAGTCAACGAGGGTCTTCTCAGGTTTATAGTTCAGCATGGAGGCCAGTGATTCCTGTGACTGTCGGATCGTCTGGTCACGTGCCCAGCAATAGAAACTAGGAAACAATAGACAAAACTGTCCAAAAGCTGATCTTGGAGCACGAAAGAACTTTCTTTTCTTTCAAGGATATCAATGTACCTCCATTTCGGCCTGCTGCCAGACTCCATGACATCTGGGCCATTCCTGGAGCTCCAGTACCGTTTGCATTAGCGTCACCTCACAATGGGGAAAATGTTTCCACTTTGGTGTTTACTTGTGGTATCGTAGAGGGTTCCTTAGGAATATCGCATAACGTCACAACTTGAAGTCATTCAAATCGCATGCAGACTTCAACCGCAGTTGGAAATTCCTATGGTAGCATACCTGGGCAGACGGGGTGCTTGCAAGGAGGAGGGTGGATAGGGCTGGTTTCAGGGAGAAGGTGATGTGTCTTGGCGGAGGCAATGGCAAATTCAAATGTCAGGATCCCTTTCGGAAAGGACCAGGGGCCAGTTTCTCGAAGCTGCTAAATCTTTTTTTCTTAGAAGGACCCTTTAAGAAGAGTTGGAGAAAGTTTAGATTTAGATGTTTCGAGAAGCACCATTTTTATACATCTAGGGGTGGGAATCCGTCCGTGGGGTTACCGGTGATGTTGACACAGATGCTCCAACTTCACCTCCTCCACTTACCCCGTAAGGGTCCTCGACGTGAAGACGACGACACGTACGAGAGGAAGTTGCTAGCTTTAGAGGAGCAAGAAATGCATGCGCTCGAGAGAATTTCTAAATCTCTGGAGAGAATAGCGAGTCAAGGGGTGCAACTTAACACCAAGGAACACGAGAAATTGCAAGAGTCTGAGGAGGCTACACCAAATATAACTTCTATTGTGGAAGCCGTCGGATATGCTTTGATATAAAACACTGTACCTAAGGCCAATGACGAGGATATCCCAAAAGGTTTACTCAGTAAGTATTTGAGGGGTTTTCTGCAAGAGCAAGACTGATGTCGTCGGGAGGAATAGGAATTGTGGAATGATCAGTGTCATCTCCATCTATGGCGTTTGCTTCACCATAAAATGCCAATCCTGCCTCAAGACATAGATTGTGGAGAATCACCGCCGACTTGATGACATTGATCGCCCTCTCCAAATTTCTGACTCACAGTACCAATAGTGCGGCTGGGACTCCTAAATCGAGCTTTCAGTGATCCAATAGCTCTTTCGACGATAGAACGAGCTCTTGCATGACAATTGTTGTAGGCAACCTCTTCCTTAGTTTTTGGGTTAATCATGCGATAACTTCGCTGTGGATATCCAGAATCTCCCAGCAGCCAACCATCTCCGGGGATTTGCTTCTGACGCAGCTTCAAAGAGAGATAGCTGCTCTCAAAAATGAAACTGTCATGGGATCTGCTTGGATAGCCATCAACGAGACTCAGAATCTTCATTTTTGCATTGACAAAGATTTGTAAAATCAGGGAGTGGAAACCTTTTCTGTTCACGTAGAGGTATTCCCTGTCCTTGGGTGGTTCAATGGGGATATGGGTTCCATCAATTGCCCCGACGACATTGGGGAATTGAGGGAAATTTTACAAAATCTCGCACGCGCCGAGCGAGAATTTCACTAACAGTTTGAATGGCACGGAGAACTTATGACTTGGAGATAGCTAGTCCATCTCCCAACACGGAATATCTGGCACCGGTAGCGAGGAATCTCAATGTACAGCACACCATTAGTTGAAGAGGCAAATGCTTGACTTCTGAAGTACTTCATTCTCTTTGAATGTCAGCACTCACTATGGTACATATATCCAGGATGAGGGATCTCGACAGTCGACATCGATGTCGTAGCTCATCATCCCTATAGTTTTCAAGAGGATTAAGGCGATCACGAAAAACGCGCTCCCTTCTCAGCAATTTTCTCATGTGAAAACGTTCCCGTGCTGACATGTCTCATGCGAATGGTAAAGTGTGTGGGACAAATGTTACTTCGAGAAACAAAATATTTGCGATCTAGAATGATAAGAATATCCAGGTCAAGCTGATAATCGTTTTAGAAAGGTTTAAGACACCTCCTTGGCTGTCTTTTTCCGAGCTAAAACTTTTCTTAAACGTAAGAAAATATTTAGCGTAGAAAAAGTTTAGAACTTTCGAGAAACCGCTTTTGAGAAGGAAATAAGAAAAATATTAGAAATAGCCGCGTAGATTAGAAATAGCACGTTTTAAGAAAAAGAAAGGATTTAGAAGCTTCGAGAAACTGGCCAAGGGGCGGAAACTGGCGCTGCTGTCGCGGCACCTTTTGAAGCCATCTTTTTGGGGTCAAACGAGCCTGTAAAACCACGTGGTACCCATGCCGGAGCATTTCTCTGATCCCAACCTCAGGAATCGTGGTGGACGTCCGCCCGAAGTAAAGCTTTACGAGCACACTTTTCACAAGGCAAGATAGGTATA